AAAAAAAACTTGTCTGCATCTGCGAATCGACTTTGGGCGACTTTAACTTTTTGTATTTTGAGAAGTTTGCGACCTGCAAAAATTTTAGATGATATATATACTCACTTTGAGTTTACATCTAACATTGTTGAGATACTACTATGTGACATGACTATTCCATTTCGTGATTCTGGTACTCCCGATTGATACTGTATGAAGGCTGCGTTACTACCGCTGAAAGTCCATGAATTACAAAAAGAAGACAAGGTGAAAGGAAAGAATTACCTATATTTGTACTTTTCGAATTGTACTGTATGTGTTTGCATTACATCTTCCCAAGCTACAACTCCTTCTGGTAATAGCTGGTCTGCCGACGAAGTGATGCAAATGATAGTCTGCAAAAGAAAAATTCTAAAATCCTGTTTTTGTTTGGCGTCTTGCCTTTTTTCGATATTTTCTGCAAAAAGACGCGAGACCACAAAAAACAATGACTATGTACTTTCCCACCATAATCAATCAAAGAACTGACCTTGATGAATGGGCAACTTTTTGCTGCTGCCATCACTTTTGACAGTAGAGTAAAAGTGGTTATTATCGCTTTGCACTGGCCACTTGTGAAGGCTCGTACAAGCTCATCTGTACGAAATTTAGTCCAGCGCTAGTTTGGATTTGGAAGGTGATGAACGGACCTTTAGTGCAGTTTTCATCTGCGCACATGCTAACACCTCCTACCATCATAGTGCCCAAATATGATGGAACAAACTCTATACAGCTGGGAAGCACACTGCAGCACACGTTTAGATGTCCTATGCCACTAAAAGGAACTATTTTTGCCAAAATTCAGAGAGGTGAGATTAGAGCACCTGTTTGATAGGAAGCTTGCGAGAGCATAGGTTTGCTTATGCAGATCCGAATAAGTAATCTGTTGAGATGGATCGTCAGCCAACATCTGAAATTTCCCAACATATGTACAGTATCCATTCCCGTTTAGGTGAGTACTCTGTGGAAATATTTCTTTGACAAATGCAATAAAAGAGCAGATTTTTGACCAGCGTTATAGTTCGAAATCTGTTGGAAATACGTCACAAATGCCCATTATTATGATTACCTGCATGCTTAAGGTGGGATAACAACCGAAAGCTTACCAGAGCAGCTCGGCTCGGATGCAATGCAGCATGCTCCACAATTTTTAGAAGGACCTTCCGATGGAATGGAACCTTACAAAGCGGGATTTCTTCAAATTTTGACGTCACGACGTTGCTAAAACTACAAAAAATAAGAGATTTCTAGAATTATGGCAAATACGATCATTTTTGATATGGTTATAAACAGGAAAATAAGGAAGGGACGAGGAAAATTTAGCAGAAGCTGGAGGGAGAAAGCTACGACTCAGTTTAGCATATTTCGTGCAGATAAGGTCTAAAAACTTTGTGCATAGTGGTCATAATATATCACCCAGACTGTTTCAAAACTATGATCAAAAGGACGTCCACCAATTTTTTTGATGTTTGTCGAGCTAAATTTCTACGATTACCTCTCTAATTCCTTATCAGCTGTCTGCTTGGATGCTGATGGCTCAGCCGTTGCTCTCTTCGGATTCAGTTTGGCTGTCTGGAAGTATGAGAGCTATGCGAGTGTGTCAAGGAACAAGATGAGATCAATGCTCTCACCGCCAAATTTCTCAACTGAGGGGTTTGATGTGAAGTAGAAGAAGAGGCACACCTTGTACTTTCAATATTACTCTGAACAGAAGTATTCGAAAATGGTATTTTCGGAGACTTTAAGAATTTGAGAAATTATGTGTGATTG